TGGTTGGCAGCTATGTGTTTGGGGATAAAGAATAATTTTTCATGTGAACACATGCCACCAAAAGGTCACTGTCTATTTGCCCATTGTAATTCACTAAGATCTGCTTGTTTACCATGTTGGAACAACTACAGTACCAGTTCCTCTTATTTTTTTGTAGAGGAGGATATTATTTATGCATGTCAACAAAGGAGTGTACTCTAACCTGGCAGAGTGATTTAACCTTAACCATGTTCTATGCTTTTTTCTATTATAACTGTTGAATTTTACCCACTGCAGAGCTCATCATTCATCTGGCTGTCCAACATCTCTAATTTTTTATACAGGGGAAATGTAAACTAGATTGGTGTTCAAACAGGTTCATCTCTTTTGTGTGTGTGTGTGTGTGTAATTTTATCTGCTTCTTTTTTTTCATGGATACTGAGGACACTGTTTTTGGGCTGCAGGTGATCTGTATTTCAAATCATACTTATGTTGCCCAAAATGTTTCTGTGTGTGAAATATGTTGTAAGTACATGGGAAGCATGCTTTAGGAATGCTATCATCAATACATATTTTCTTTACAGGAAATAATGGTGTTCTGATAGGAGACTCATTCCATAAAATGCCAGCATTCAGAAAAAAAAAACCCAAATACTGGTCAGATTCCCACAGTCGCTTTGCACATCTGTACATTGTTTCACACAGGGCCTGTAGTCTGACCTTGGGTGAACTACGAGAGTTGTGGCTCCCTTCATGAGCCCTGTAACTTATTTGTGCACGACCCACAAACAGGAAGTCACCTTAGGTAGTTCAGTCACGTCAACAGGCTCTGTAAAACCACTTTGAGCTCAACCACTTTGAGCTCAACCTCTATGAGCACTACTGTTCTCTTAACCAGTGCTGTGAATGTTGCTTGGGTCTTGTATACATCACCCTTCTGACTGTACAGCATCTTGGGATCCCCTTGTACGGGACAGAAGTCAGTAAGGTTCAGTCTTTTGTGGAGTCTCAGATCCTTCTGTTTCGCCAATGACATGTGGAGTCTCACCTGAAATCATCCTGTGTGGGAGAGAGAGACAGAGACAGAGCCAGCAGCAGCAGACATTGTCCGCAAATTAATTGACAGATTCAATCTTTCAACTTCCTGTTTCTTTCTATACCACACTTCCTCAAACTTGTCACCTGGTCCCTGTGATACATGTGCTGTGCAGAGCAATCAATCAGCAGGCTGAGTGATGTGAGCAGTGAGTGACTAACATCAAACCAAATGGGAACATCAGGCCTGAAAGTGAGAATGAATGTTTAACTGTCGAGTCATTGAGAGTACACTGTGGTTGGGTAAGGTCATGCACAGGAACACCAGTTGCATTCACAGTTTTCTACTTTCTGCAGCTCTTTTTAGGGTTATCCTTTTTTCTTTTTGCAAAACAGTTGATCTCAACACGGAGACAGTAGCCTCCAGAGTTCACTAAGAATGGACCACTGTGACTATTAAGGTCGACTGTGGCAGTTTCCTAAACCTTGTATTTGCATCCAAATACATGGCAAATGGTTTAGATCTCAAATTTGCTATTGTATCCTTAGCTCTACCATGGCTTGTTGCAAGTGTTTTTTATCATGACCTGAAAAAACTTGTGACTCACCCAGTGTTGTGTTGTGTTGTGTTGTGTTGTGTTGTGTTGTGTAAGAAGTCTGACCCGTCTGTGGCATCGGCTTCTTCACCTCCTGCTCTCAGTCCGATGTTTGAGATGGAGTCTTCTTCCCCCTTGACAGACATTCCTCTCACCAATGTCCATTTCTACCACATTGGAAACACATATTGGGGTCATATGACTTACATCTGTGTCTGTAGATTCTTCTTCCACATCCACTGCCACCTCTGTTCAGTTCTGCTATGTTCTGAGAAATAGTCAGCTGAGCACCATAAATTTTCTTCTCTTTGCTTGCCTTTTGTTTAGCCTCCAGGGATAACAGCTGCTCTTCTGCGTGCTCTGCATGTTGCAAAATGTCAATTAGACTTGCTATTTCCCAGTTGCTGCATCTTTTCTTGATCTCCAGTGTGATTTCAAGCCTAATTCTGGACAGGAAATAGGCCTTGAGATGTGTTTCAATGGGATCCTGTGATGTTGCCTCCATTTGTCCTTTTTTCAGTCCACTATGAATGTCAAAGGCTTCTGTGAGACGCACTAGGAAGGTGCTGCTGGTCTCCTTTTCCCCCTGAGACAGACAGGAGACAGCTGACATGTTCCTGTACTGTGGGAACTGTGTCTCACACAGTACGATGAGGTCCATAACTGCCACTTGGAACCCTTTGTTACTGGTGTGTTCCCAGTCAGGACTTGACAATCTCAGGCTCATGCATTTCTGTGTAAATAATTCTGATATCTTACAGAAATCATGCTTCAATATTTTGTTCAGTAAGTGTCTCAGTTCCAACATAATGGGTCGATATTCCACTACAAAGTATTTTAGCTGAGTTTGAACAGGGCCAGGTTGTTGTTCGGACTACAAACATATCTCATTGCTGTGACGATATTGGCTTCAGGCTACGGTCTAAATACCAAAATACCTTCATTGGTGCTGCCACAGAGAGTTTCTGAGCTGGAGAATGATGGTTCCTTTTCCTCTTCTGATGGGTTTTTCATTACTAACTGGGTCCTTGCAGCTGGTCCCTGGGATGACCGCTGGTATGAGATCCCCAGTGGTGGAATGATGCTGTTTCCTGTCCTGTAGATGGATCTTGTTGGTTGTCTCGGAGCTGTTGATGTGAGGAGGAGGACGAAGAGCAGAGTCCAGATTGGGGTCCAGTCTGAATGGGTTTCTTGGTGATTTTACCTCAGTGAGAGAAAGTGAAAACGTTCTAGCGATTTCATTTAACTTTTCATTCATCTTTTCCTCAGCTTCCTTTTTATCGTCCTTTTTGCTTCACTGTCCCTTTAATCTCTTCTTCTCTCTGCTTCTTCCCTCCACAATCTATAAGCTTCCCTGTCTGCTTTAAATGGCACATTTTTCTTTTTCTTTGACAAGGCTGCATGCTTTTCTGCATCTGTGTTCTCTCTTTCCTCCATATGTGTTTTAAGTTGCTCCAGTTTACTTAAACTGAAACTTCCCTTTTCTTGAAACCCCATTTCAACCCATATATAAAACTGACTCGTCCTTGTAACATTCAGTCATTATTTTAAGAATGATATGAAGAACTTTGGGACTGGTGTCCACATCACACATCTCCTTACTCTCACTCTTTCCCATCTCCGGATATGTTGTATCTCTTATTCTTATTTGGTTATCTGAAACAGAAGCAGCGACTACCACATGACTCAAGACAGGTCTGTCTACAAGAATTTTTATGAGAGCCTGGATTCACCACAAGCCGTTTACTCACACAAACAATCTGGTCTTTGTGTAAAACTACCTTAGTAGCTTGTGAGATTTTACCTGTCTACACACTTTCTTTTCTTTAGTGTTACAATTTTTTCCTTTTTCTTCTCCGGCTTCTTTCATTCAGTCTGCAGTTCTCCTATTCATGTAATAACGCAACAAATTTTTTCACCGTTGATTTGTGCGTGGCACTTTTCCAAGCACTGATTTCCAGATCAGGTTCGGATCAGTGATCAGGCTCTGTCTGGAGACAACTTCTCACCCTCGTCAGGGAGCAATCTTCCTAAATTATCGGCCTTCTGTTCTTCTGGCAAAGTCCGTATCACATATCCATCAAATCTGGGTTGCAAATTTGTTGTGGAAATCTGAATAGCCTTTAAAAAACAATCAAGGTGTGACAACACTTGTCTTTTGTATTACTATTTAATCAAATAGAGGTTAATAAAGTAAAGAAATGCAGAGTGAATATTTCAGCTGAGAGGGCAGAGCTCATGCACCAGGATTGTGTTCAGAGATCTGACCAAATAATCAAACAACACAATCCAAGTTATTATAGCATTTGTCCTTCAAACATTATAGTCTCAGCCTTCTCATGAAGATAACAGGAACTCCTCAGCCTGAAAAATGCAGATAATACAGAATGCAGTCAAAACCAGGCTGTGGCAGCAGTGAGGCCAAGGTAATGAAAAAATTACTAAAACATTTGCTACAACACCCTACAGTATTAATAATTATGGAGATTAACTTCAGGATCTTTGAACAAGTGTTACAAACCAACAGAAATATACAAAAAAAATCCCAGGATTCCCTTGATTCCTTGGGAACTAACTTTCTTTTAGATTCTAATTTTATTCATTCTCAGTTTCATTTCAGGCTGCAAGGTGGCGCAGTTGGTAGCACTGTTGCGTTGCAGCAAGAAGGTCGCCGGTTTGCGTCCTGGCAAGGACACCTGGGATCTTTCTGTGTGGATTTTGCATATTCTCCCCGTGCAGCGTGGGTTCTCTCCAGGTTCTCCGGATTCCTCTCACAAGGTCCAAAAAAATGTTGAGGTTAATTGGTGATTCTAAATTGTCCATAGGCGTGAATGTGAGTGTGCTTGGTTGTCTGTCTCTAAGTGTAGCCCTGTGATAGACTGGTGACCTGTCCAGGGTGTCCCCTGCTTTCGCCCTAAGTCAGCTGGGATAGACTCCAGGCCCCTAATGAGGATTAAGCAGTGTATAGATAATGGATGGATGGATGGATTTTCGTTTCTAACTCAAACATCAGCAGGTTGTCTTCTAATCACAAGGTTGGCTGTTCGATGTCAAAGTGTCTTTGGGCAAGACACTGAACCCAAAGTTGCTCCCAATGGCAGGCACCTTGCATGGCAGCTCTGTCGCCATAGGTGTATGAATGTGCATCTACTCTCAGATGTACGTCGCTTTGGATAAAATCGTCTGCTAAATGAAAATGTAAATCAGTGAAAAACAGACAACAAAAAAAAGAAAACATAAACTCTGGACAGATTGGTGGAACCAGCAGCTGCAGATCAGAACTATACATCTTCAGAATTAGAAATACTGAACTTTGGGCTCTGCAACCACCTATTTCTGCTTTCATGTGTGCTTACATGGTGCATATTTAAAAATGCTAAAACCCCAGAGTGTCTTTGAAGGATTCTTTTATTGGAAGCCTCACAGTGAAGGACATAAACAACTTCAGCAGTATGTAAGCATATTTCCAGAAATACTAGACTGCAACAAAGGGATTTTATTTTAATTTTTTTACTTTAATTAAATTTTTCTCCACCTGCCTCCATCATCTCCTCCCACCCTCATCCCTTCTTTTCTCCACCTCACCTCTATTACCCCTTTCCTCTGTCTCCCCCAACCCCAACCACCTTTCATCTCCCTCCACCTTTCTACCTTTTCTACCTATTCTATTACCCCTTTTCTACCACTCTCACCCCCCACTGCCTGTCCTTTTAACACTCTCACTGCCATATCCCTCTACCTTTACCCCCTTCTCTCTGTTTCCCTCACCCCATCTCCCTTTTACCTTTTTTTCTACCTCCCTCACCCTCTTTCCTCCCCTTGCTGCTATCTTTGATGGATGGGACCAGTGGCAAAGACTGTTTCTTTACTCTTCCCCTGCAGCTCTTGGCAATGTCTGAGAGACGGAACCTGTCAAAAAGGACAGAACACTGTATGAAGGTCAATTGTTACTGTACTTTTGAAGGGTAAGATAAAAGCAAAAAAATCACTGTTTTTAAGACAATGCACCTATGTTCCTCAACTCTCTCTGCACAGCCTTTAGTCCTCCAAACTGGTTGATGATGAAGTCAACAGCCTCAACAACGTTCTTGTCTTTTAGATCTTTTTCAGTGAGTCTTGCCTGCATTAACAGCCTCCTCATAGTTGGATCCAGATCCTTAAACTGCATCAAACAGATACAAATGGGAACGAACTGATGTAGTTTGTTACCGCTAGAGACTAATTACAGTTTGACAATGTCTTTATTTTTCATTTCACTGTATAATTTGACTCACCGAACTTGTGGTCGAAGTAAGTGTGGTAGAAAGTCCATCCATGAGGAACTGTTTCCCCTCATCCAAACTTCCAGCAGGTTCAATTCTAAAGGAGCATAAACAGATTGAATCATATCTTAAATTTTTTGCTTTTTCCTGCAGCTTACAGCTGGAAAGTGGTCACATTTTTCTCACCGTGAATCAGGTGGTTCACTTGTTGAGGCTGTTTTCAAGTTTGCTATGTCAATCATGCTGTTAATTTTTTCTGCAAATGGATGAGTAAAATGGAGACTAATGAGAAATCACAGAGGGAGGACATAATGGCAGGTTTACCCTTTGATCTGCCGTCATGCGAAAAGAGCAAACATAGATTTTAGATTTGCTGATACAGATCTATGTGTTGTTATTCTACCGCAGGCAGCGTCCACTGTAAGATGAAATTCCTCTGCCTCATTCTCATTTGCAAAGTTGAGGCCCATCTGGTTGCCCTGTGGAAGCAAAGCAAGCCTTAAACCAACCCAAAAGTAGTACTCTAATGAGCATGATGCACACACTGGTACTCAAACACTTACATCTGCAGGGAAAGAGTGGAAGAACGTGCGAGCTGCAGTGTACGTGAAAGGAATGTACAATTCCTGCTCCCACAGTAACTTGGCACGCTGTGTTTGAGGGCAGATAAGGTGAGGATGAAAGGAAAGGCGTTTATGAACAGCTGTTGGAGCCACACAAGGGAAAAATACAGGCACACCCATCATCATACGACTTCATATTGTTACTGAGGGACACTGAAAATTAGAGACACTTCAAGCTGTCCAATGTGTGCAACTGTGCTCGTACACACTCCAACAAAATTAACTGTTTGTTCACTGTGTTTCGTACACATATCAGTGTGTGCTGATCTGAGTGAGTGGAGTAACTCTGAGCAGTTCTTACCTTGACACAGTAGAGACGAAGGAAAAAGGAATGCCTGGATTCATCCTCAACGAGACAAACCACACCACAGTCTAAACAGATCCAGCTCGGACTCTCACCCTCGATGTCTTTGGCCTGCAGTATCTGGGCCACTGTACACTTCATCAGCTAAAACACACCAGTAGTTATACAAATCACAACTGATGAATATACTCAACCCAGTCTCACGGCAATTCGTTAAATAGTCACGAAATTTAATCTGCTGTTTTGTGTCCTGGGACACGATTTGCTTTTCACTTTTTCGTGTTCCCCAGCACGAATTTCAAATCAATGCATTTCAACTAGAATTATCTTTTGTGTCTGGGACACGTTTTTTCCCTATCAGACAGCACATATACTGTGATGTTTTTGTCTTTCTTTTCTTCCCACAGTCTGGCATAAACCAATTTTACTGTTACGGCCCGTCCACACTAATAACTATAGAGATCACTATAAAGATGTGTGCGCCCACACTGACCAACGTTAACATTCTGTAAACACCGGTGCTGAGCCGGTACCATGTGCTCCACCTGCTATAAGCTCCGTATTCATTAATAGAAAATACAAGAAATATACCCAGGCAGAGAGAAACTGTTCTGAGATAAACATAAACATAAATATAAGTGCTTTTACTGTGTTTGGGCTACATGCTCGTCATTACTTTCATTTCTCTGTAAACGAATAGAACTCTGAAAAGAAGGACACATACAGGAAAACGGCGACCAGAACATATACTGTGATCGCATTGATGGATAATCTGACTGTTGTAACTGAGAGGCCAGCGGTGGGGAATGTATCTGTAGCTTTGTGCTACTTTCAGCTCGCTCGTCAAGGCTGTCTACATTAACTACTAGCCTAGCAGCTGCTGCTACTGCTTCTTCTATTGGTTTGGGGGTTGTTATCCAATGTTCAGGTATATTACCTCCACCTACTGTACACACAAAAACATTACAGATCTTATAGGACAGATCTTTTCCAAGTCTATGGCGAGGCTGCGCACCGACGCTAACAGGGTTGCCTTAGCAACAACCGCAAATTTCCCCCAAACACTGCCGGTGTAATAAAAACACAAAAAATACCACAATACCATGTACTCTTTTACACTTATTTCATACTACACGTATTATACTTTAACAGTAGCACATTTGTCAGTACTTCAATCCGTTTATTTTAGTTTATTAATACAAAAACACAACCCTAGTTGTGAACCCCAAAAGAACTACATATTTCATGGTGTGTCCAATCATGTTGTATTGGAACGCTGCTGGAAGTTGTAGTTCTTTCTTCAAAATACCCATTTCTCCTAAATGGAAGGTGAAATATAAAGCTTTAAGTCCATTTAGGGGTTTAAATTGATGAGGAGCATGTTTATTTGGACTGACTTTACAAATGAAATTTGTCAAATGTTGTTCTTAAAGGTGCTATACAAATAAAGTCATTATTATTATGATTATTATTATTATTATTATTGTTATTATGACATACTGTATAGTCATATAGCCATATGACTGTTGTTAAAACACATAAATGAGTGTACCCTGAAATTGTTTTCCTGAGGAGATTAAGCAGCCGGTAAGGATGTCCTCAATGTTAGGGTTAGGATAGTATCAAACAGGATTTAACCAGGAAAAACATCTTTAATGAGGCCAAAAATGACACCCATGGGTTCCAGTAAGTCAAAACAAAGCTGTCATCGACAAATTTACCCACTATGTTCAACAAAATTATTTTAATTTCATCTTATCCAATTGAGCTTCGCACATCTCCTGGAAAACTACACCTGACACAGGGCTGGGTCCAGAGGGGGCACAACTTAAACTTTGTCATAGAACTAAACATGATACATCATTGGAAAGGCCTTGATCAGGGGAGTAAGATTATGTCAGTCTGGAAGCTCAAAGTTGCTCTTGCTCAGAGATATTGACCTTTGAACTTTGACTTCAGTGCATATTTTAAAGCTTCGAATTCAACAGTGAAAGGGGTTAGAATCATGGGACCGGCTGTTACACAAAGTTCTTGACTTCTACTATCATGTAGGCTGTGGCTTGATGTTCTCACCAGCAGGGAGCATCACAAAATGTGGTAAAAATTTAATTTCACCTATATATATCATTTTCATTGGATACACTGGACATTATCTGCCATTTAAAATCATGTTCCTTGGTGCACCTTTTGTTTTTCTTACACTTTTTTTCCCTAATGCTGACATAAAGCACAAAGACGTGAAGTACGTCAGGAATCAAGAGAACTTTCTTTCAACAGGGGAAGTATTTTGCAATAGTTGCCCAAATTTAAAACCTAAAACTTAAAAAATATATATATATTCTACATAAAGAGGATTGTATGACTGGAAGGCCACAGTTCAGGGGGGCACTGAATATGTGTGATTAATATGATGATACACACCTGAGTTTACATGTTTGTTATTTAGGACTCAAAACTAAACTCAGCAAAAACCTTTGACGGAATTTTGTTAGTTTTAGAACTGGGAATTGTTGTATTTTCGTCCTTCTATTGCTTTCTTTTACCTGGAAACCCATTTCAAGGATTCCAAATCTACAGATTTACTGCAAAAAAAACTCTTAAATTTACTGCAGCATCCTGGTGTCTTAGTGCAGCAGGAGAAAAAAAACTACTTTCTAGTCTCTAGAGAGTTTTCCAAGAGGCAAAGTTAATGCATTTTGTCTGCTGTTTAGACTCCTTTTAACCCTAACCATTATACAAGTCCTCCTACAGATTGCTTTTAAATGCATAATATCACATTTCTGAAACCTCCTTTCAGAGGCTGATAATGCTGAAGTCTGATTCACTTATATGTTTTGATAGCCTTAGTGAGTTTCAAGAAATCAAAACATTTTATTACATATTTAGAGAAACTTAGTTGGTATCTTCAATGGTTTAGCTTCTCTCCTTTGGTTTTCACTCACCATAGGCAGGTCAGCCTCACCCAACACAAACCTCACCCACAAACCAAAGAGACTCACAGGATTGAGAACCTTTGTCTATTAATGATTTACTTTTACATCTCAGATTCACTGATACGTTGATGACACACAGTTATATCCGTCTATAAACCAGTGTTGTCTTACAGTAACCTTGCTGAAAATACCAAATGGGAAGTTTTGCTTTATTTTCCTTCATTAAATTAACCATGAAGGCACCATGTTGCCAACTATGTTCTAATATCTGACAAAACATGTATAGACCACATTTAAATATTGTTTAAAATATACTCCAAACTTTGGCAAAGTGAGGAGCTACAGTCATTTGGACTGGGTCTTATACTTATTGACAGTGTATTCATTAAGTCTGACCTCCATTTAATGTTTGCTGCTTTATTCTAGCTTTTCACTTTTTATATTGTTTCATTTTTTAGCCTTTGCTCTATTCAAACTCCTTAAAAAGTGTGACATTAAAGGAGAATGTTATTGTACATTTCTACATCTTGCAAGAGCTTCTCTGGTAACATTGTCCTCGGCAGAGTACCGTGTGTTATGAGTCACAGAGACATGAAGCAGATTTCTTTAAGTTACTACATTAATATCCACATCTTCCGCTCAACACAGTAAATAATGTTTTTACCTTTAAAATGCATATTAGGTTTTTGTCATTCCTGTTTAAAGTGTTTGTGTATGCACGTTGTTGTTGAGCTGTATTTTAAAGACAGTAAACAAGTGAACTGACCTTACAGTGAGGTTCAAGCAGACTGATGAGGACACCTTTCTCACGGATGGTCAGGAGATCAGTCATTACATGACATCCAGGAATCAGACCGAACGCCATCGCAAGACTCTTGTTATCTTCTACTCACGACAACTACAGCACAAAATTCATTTCTAAATGTTTCTGCTGGAGGACTGAAACAAAGTCAGCCCTGATCCCAACTATGACTGATTTGAATGGCAACATTTCCAGTTCGTAATTATGCAAATTTATGTGCATTATGTGTGCACTTTGGCTCTCAGTAACCAAATGAACAGCGGTGTAAAGTGTACAGTCAATGGCACAAGCATCAGGATAGCAGGAACATTTCTTTAAACATTTGAATGATCTAATGTGATAAGTAAATAAGTTGTAAAGGATAAGTTTCCATTATGTCACAGTTCTGTCCCAGCATTCAGTTCTTCCAAACAAACAGTAGCTGAATAGTGGAAAACAACTGTTTACTGAAACTCTGTACTCAAGAGCAAATCTGAAGGATTTGCACTTTACTTGGATATTCACATATTGCCTTAACTGTGCAGCATTTCAGAGGAAATTATCAACTCATCTGACTCCACTACTTTTAGGTTAGAATCAGAACTCCCATTATGAGTCTCTAATAAGACATAGGATCACAGATTAAATCATGCAATGGTATTTTGGAAAATCCTCCCTTTTGTCTTTTAGCCAACGAAACATTAACATTAGATGTTGATACCCAGATTAAAAGCTACATACTTGTAGATCTATCTAATGAGAAGCTCTTGTGTTTGCATTTTTTGAATAGACTAGTGTTTAATTGAAAAAGTGAACATTTATCTTGAAGCCAGAAGCAGCAGGCAGCGTTAATGTCTTGGCAGTGAATTAGAGAGGAAGAAATTTCAAGTGAGAGGAAATGGCTGGTCGGTTTGATATATCACACAAGTAAAAACCACATGAACACCTTGACCTCTCATGGTTTAAATGACCCCTGATTGTGCATGTTACAATACCCACATAACTAACCATTATAAAAGTCTCCTTTGACTTATTAGTTGTGTGTTATCTTGCCAAATACACGTATTTTATGACTTCCACATATTGCCTTGAAGAACCAATTCCTCATAGTGGAACAACATTTCTGCATTGATCTTTGATTTTCACCTAAATAAGAGTCACCACAAAGTTCCAACAAGTCTCTCACTGTCAAACGATCTGTGTAAAAATGTACAAAGTGACACAGCACAGTTGTAAAACATAAAAAACAAAATTTTATTTAAATTTGTTATAGTAGTAACAGGTAAAAATAAATGACATTCTTTAGACTATTGAGTGCAGTGACACAAAGAGCAAGTACAATAAGTGATATGTAGATGGGAAAATATTGCTTACTCTGACTTTAATACTACTTTTGTCTGATAATCATTTCCCCATGCTCTTCAGAAAACGTGACCTCTCTGTGACTGTTACACACCGCTCTTCCTCCTCCGTCCCCGCTGACGGCCTCCTCTGCTCGGTCAGCTCCTCCTGTCACCGGCTTCTTACGTCTCTTGTTCAGCAGAGGGTTGTTGGATGTGTCCAAGTCTTTGATCTTCACCTGGTCATAGTCCACACGCATGGTGGCCAGAGCGCTGGTCATTTCCTCCTGTTGGAAGAGACGCTCTGTGAAGCTGATCTGCTGCTTTACTGCCACCTGGTGGCCACATTCTCAAAGGAGTCTTACCTTAACGTCGTCCCACAGTTCCTTGTCCTCCGTCAGAACACGAGAGGTGTGCAGAGGCGTTGGAGGGACCACCATCGACTGCTGTGGTATTAAAACATGAGCATCCATTAATACACAGGATAACAACATACAGGTCTACGCAAGGCTTATAAAGTATGAACTTACACTGATCCAAGGATAGTTCATGAACTGTCCAATGGTCATCCTCTCACTGGGGTCCGTCTTCAGCAGCTGGATGATGAGCTGTTTGGCTGCAAGAGATAGGGATTAAAAGTATAATCATCAACCCAGCAGGTATTCAGTGCTAATGTGCATCTAAAATAATCTAGTTTTATGGTTTATTACAGGTAGAAAAATCCTGTGCAGAATCTTTAATGTCATCATACAAAAGTACAACAAAACAGAATGCAACCCTCTTCAGTGCAAAACAGCAATTTTAAATTGACAAAACTATATACAAAGGTAAAAACAGAGATTTACAAAAGATAAAGTGACTGCTAATAAATTGACTTAAACACACTGATTTAAAAAAAATAAAAAAAGAGGTATGCAGTTCAGTGTTCATGAAGTTTTGCAACAGCCCTAGGATATATGCTGTTCTTTAGTCAATTTGTTTTTGCTTTTATTGCCCTGTATTGCCTTCCTAGCTTTCACATTTATAGGAATCTGTGCAATATCTAAATTTCTAGATGTGGAAGAACATATACAATATCATAAGTGCTTTTGTATATTTCTTGTTAATTCTTTATTTTTCTGCTGATGTCTCCCTTGCTGCTGTAACACTGCATGTTTCTCCACTGTGGGATTAGTAAAGGCTTATCTTATCTTATCTTATCTTACAGTTAACATATCCAAAGCTCCAGTTAACGAGTGTAAATGAACAACAAAAACTCCTCATTTAAGACAGCAAAAAGACCATCAACATTATATCATGAGTTCAAACATGCAGTGATTTAGTGGTGATGACATTTTTATGACTGTCAATGGAGACTTTATGCAATCTGTTTTCTGCTTGTTTTCAGCGCATAATTATGTCGGTACAGCATGCCTGGGTTAAAGGGAAGTTAAAGTGTCTCAGTGTTATGCAATACTGGAGGAGTCAATACCACATTCATTCAGAACTTTGTTTTCATGTAATTCAAAAGCATTGCACACATTTTTCACATTTTTAAACATGTTTTTAATGTTAGATATATACTTTGTGTTGAAAGTCTGACCTTCCTCGGAAACGTCAGCCCACTCAGGATTGGGAAACTCATATTGACCCAATCGGATCCTTTGCTTCATGCCAGGAGAGATTGCCTGACCTGTGTTTGAGTAGAACGGAGGAAACCCACAGAGCCTGGAGACGAGAGGAGAGAAAGCTACTATACTTGTACTTTAACTAATGCACAAAGAGCAGCTATTAATATTTCATTAAGCTAAATCAGTTACAGGCAAACATGATACTCACAGGATGTACATAATTACACCCAAAGACCACATGTCACATGATTTGTCATATTTCTCTGGACCAAGCACTTCTGGTGCTGCAATGACAGACAGGAAAAAAACAACACAATAATGTGCAGAATGGAAGACACACTCATATAAAAGCTAGTAAAGAAGACGCACAAACACAAGAGTGAATGACTGTAAACACATCCGAACATAAAGCACATTTATAGACAATGTACCTAAAACTCATGCTATCATCTTTCAGCAAACACTCACCAACATAATATGGGGTGTAACAGGGAGTTTGGAGCGAGTTGTGCAGTGTCGTCTCCTTAGCAAAGCCAAAGTCAGTCAGTTTCAGTGTGCCGTTGCTCTCCTTGGTGGTGTAGAGCAGGTTTTCAGGCTGAATCACAAATGGGGTAAAAGACAACGAACACAAGTGAGATGCAATTATTGAGCTGCTTTATTTAACTAGAAACTCTTTCCAACATTCTCCGTGGAGAATTATTTGAGCAGCAGATGTACCTTTACGTCTCTGTGAGCGATGTCCATGAGGTGGAGGTACTCTATGGCCATGCCGATGTCGTGCATGATCTCTGACACCTCTAATGGGCAGACAGGCGTGACAGCACGGATCACCACACGGGAGCCAGTAGATTTAAACTGTTAGATGTGAACTGTAACCCACCTCTCTCTGTGAAGGCCTGGTCCCCTCTGGCCTGAATGCGGCTGAACAGCTCCCCTCCCTCCATACTGAGACAACATTAACAAAGAGATGAGAACTGGGGCAGTGAGGGGACTCTTGGCAAATCACCACAGTTCTCTACTGTAATCATGGTTCTGTAACAAAGCAAGTCATTGTGTCTATTTACTGTTCGGATGAGTCCAGTCCAAGCAGGCAAGGATGACTCAAGAGGAAAGGACACATAATTTCATTTACGTGATTTTAGATCGCGAACCAAATGCAAATACATAAGCTGTAAATGAGCAGATGATGTAGCCAAAGACTCCATGAGCTCAAAGTTAGTGTGTGTACAAGTTATAACGAATGAGCAGATTGTAATGTGGTGGACTGCTGTCCCTCTGAGATGTCACTTTTGTTTTTGCTTTGTTTCTGAGTTTCAGTTTATTTATTTAAACTTGTTTAAATTAAACAAAAGCCACAATGACAATGGAAAGCAATTTACAAAGACTGTGGGAAAAAGATCAACAAAGGTCTATTTGAAGAGTTCATTTGCAAAAACAGATAACTCCATCTTCACAAACCTTCAGAAAATCCACTTTTCGTGTACCTGAGACAATATCAATCAAACTTAAGTTATCTCTATTTTTGTCATGTTTTTTCTACGTAGTTAAATCCACTCAACTTCAATTTGATCAAGCGAAAAACAACAAAAAAAGTTTTCTGAAAATCTACAAAAATGGAGTTATCTGTTTTTGCAAATCTTCATTTGTTGTTGCAACCCAAAGAATATAAAAAGACATATAATATAAGGTAAAATGTAAAAGAGCATTATATCCATCCATCCATTGTCTATACACCGCTTAATCCTCAATAGGGTCATGGGGGGCTGGAGTCTATCCCAGCTGACTTAGGGTGAAGCCAGGGGACACCCTGGACAGGTCACCAGTCTATCACAGGGCTACACTTAGAGACAGACAACCAAGCACACTCACATTCACACCTACGGACAATTTAGAATCACCAATTAACCTCAACATGTTTTTGGACTGTGTGGGAAGAAGCCGGAGAACCCAGAGAGAACCCACACTGCACGGGGAGAACATGCAAAATCCACGCAGAAAGATCCCGGTGCCCCCACCGGGACGCGAACCGGCAACACTCTTGCTGCGAGGCAACAGTGCTAACCAACTGCGCCACCTTGCAGCCCAGAGCATTATATGAGAAAGAAAATTATCAAAAAAAAAACAAACAAGTTTTGCTGGACTTTAATGAAATGTAGCTCTTTTTCAGTTGAAAGAAACAAGATGTTTGCCCATGAAGTAGAAAGATGT